TTTATTTTTTTAATTTACTTGACAGATAGAGTTAGACAGTGAGGGAGAGAGAGAGAAAGGTCTTCCTTCCATTGGTTCACTCCCCAAATGGCCGCCACGGCTGGCGCTGCGCTGATCCGAAGCCAGGAGCAGGTGCTTCCTCCTGATCTCCCATGCGAGTGCAGGGCCCAAGCACCTGGGCCATCCTCCACTGCCTTCCCGGGCCACAGCAGAGAACTGGCCTGGAAGAGGAGCAACCAGGACTAGAACCGGGCGCCCATATGGGATGCCGGCGCCACAGGCGGAGGACTAACCACGTGAGCCACGGCGCCGGCCCCTCATCTAATCTCTTATCATTTTTGGTTGTTTGTGACTAAGGTGTAAGGTGCCGAAGAGCTAGATGCACGTTGTGGTCCCTTTGTGCTTGCTCTGAGCCTAACAGGATCTTCTGGGCACAGTAGGTGTTCGGGGCATCCTTCCCGTTACACATTGAGTGAATGCTGTAGTTGAAGGCGCACGGAGAAGCAGCACCATCTTCTGGCCAAAGTGAGAAGTGCACTGGTCAAAGAATGTCAGCTAGAGGCTCCCCAGAGCAGTGTGTGTGTGTGTGTGTGTGTGTGTGTGTGTGTGTACACGCATTCATGCATGTGTATTCCAAGTTGGTAAGCTCACTCTACTTTTCCAACTTTGCCATCCTCCAGCAGGAACACTCTGGGCTCTGGAGCGAGGGGCTGCTTTGGGGGACTCTGAACTGAATCACTCCCTCATGCCCACCACTTTGCAGATGGGTGAATCAGAGAGGTGAAAGCAGGCTCCAGGTCAGCCTGCAAGGCAATGGACTCCAGGCACACTGGACTCCAGGACACGGGCTCGAGTTTGGGGCTTTTAAAAGCCATCATCTGGATCTTTCCTCTGTCCTCTCTCTCTCCCTTCTCTGTCTCCCTCTCTCCCTCTCCTCCCTCTCTCTCTCTCTCCATCTCTCCCTCTCTCCTCGCTGCCTTTCCCTTGTTCATTGTTCTGTCCCTGCTCCTGCCTTTGATGCACATACGTCGTCACATTCCATTGACTCTCCTCTCTGTTCTTACACTCATGCCTAGCGGTGCTTCCGCCAGGCAGCAGCAGCCTCTCCTGCAAGTTTTGGTCACGTGTGCAGCTCAGTTAGCTCGAGCGTTCCTTTTCTGCCTTTTCACTCTTACAAAAGATTAAAAGGTGGCATCACATTGCTCCCCAGTTCCTTCCCGCAGGAGGGACTTAAAAGGGACAACAAAAACCAATCACGTTCAATAAGCATTTTCTTGGTGGAAAAAAAAGGAAAAAAGAAGCCATCATGTCTTGGCAGGGGGAAAAGTCATTTCATTGTTGATGGTTGCAGGTGAGCAGCAAGGGTGGGGAGTGAGATAAACATCATTTCCTGAGCATGCTAATGTGTTAGGCATGCTAGATGTTGTCTTAAACATTCTTCTACACAGCGGAGCTCAAAACAGCAGCACTTTCAAAGGGTCATTGTTAATAAAGCACAGGCTGGGTAGCCCGTATCTGCTTGGGACCAGAAGTGTTTTGGATGTAAGATTTTTTTCTTTGGAATATTTGCATATCCACAATGAGACATGTCGGGGATGGGACCGAAGTCCAGACGTGAAAGGCTTGTAAGTTTCCTCACCTGCGAAGGTGTTTTTTACACAGTATTTTTAGTGTGCCTGCGTTTTCATTGCGACCTCTCCCATGAGGTCGCTTGTGGAGTTCACAGGTGGCAGCATGTCCAGGCTCCGAGCGTTTCAGCGTGTGGAGCGTTCTGGATGGGGAGTTAGGGACGCCCAACGTGTGACAGGAAGGCAGCGCAGACGTGAAATGCTTGCTGCCGGAGACTCGCTGCGGGAAGTGAGCGCTGTCAGTTGTGTTTTCGGGGCTGAGCTCATTCGGGTAGAGGCTGCTCTGTTAAGCCTCACTTTTGTCAGGCTGGTCAGGAGGAGTGCCCCGTCCAGATTCTGCTCCAGCCCTGTGAGTTCTGAGTGTTTCCGTATGGGTGGTGGCGGTGGGCACTGTCTCTGGCCCTGTGTGAGCAGTGGGCACCAGGTTCTCATCAAGGGGTTCCCTCCCATGCATGCACTGTTGGGTCCTCTGCCGACTAGTCGAGGGGATCCCCTGTATTCCACGGGGAGGGGGACGCCCCTCTTCGCGCTGCTCTCTCCTGTCAGGTCCTGTGTGCTGACTCAGGAGTCGGCAGCTCCTCACGGCAGCCGGGAGCTTGCAGGCAGCCAGCTGGGGCAGGCAGTGTTCACGGGGCTGCTTGCCTGTCACTCGGGATGGCAGTCCTTGCTACCACCCACTGCCCCGATTCTTGCTGGACATCGGGGAGGCTCTGTTACATCAGAAGCCTACACCTGTCACTTAGGCTTTACCACACCAACCATTTCAGCTACAACTATTTCCTCACTCATGACTTGGAGAGTGGTGGTTTGGGTGGAGCGGTTCTGCTGTCCACGCTGGGCTCACACCCTCATCTGTAGTGAGCCGAGGCAGCTCTGCCTCCCCAATGTTTGCTGGTGGTTGACAGGCACCCTGGGTGCAACTGGGCCACGCTGCTGTAATACACTGGTTAATTTATTAAGTAATTCATTCATTCGTATATTTTTTGAGTGTCTGATTGGTGACAAAACAATCAAAAATCCCTGCCCTTATGAACCTTATCATCTCATTGGTTCATGCAGGTAGGGAGACTCTGGTATGAGCCCGGCACTACGCTGGGTGTCTAGAACTGACAAAGACAGAAACCACTCTCCTCCCTCAAGACACCTGTGCTTGTTTAAGGAGTGGGGTGAAGGAGTAGGGGCAGGGATAAGTTCCATATGCATAGCACAGAACCCGAAACCTAAGTGCTGGGCTGTGCTGAAGAACTTGTCTGCATGTCTTGGTCTTGAGGGGCAGTGATGGGAATCAGGGAAGAGGACAAACTGTCAGTGCACCAACAAGGTCCAGGATTGCAACAGAACAGGACAGGAAAGCTGCCCTCACCGTCACTTCCTACTGGACATGCAGGCAGGAAGCATACCACCGTGCTACTCACGAGACACAAGACGCGCTCCGGGAGCCGGCCTCGGCCACAAAACGTCCTCCCTCTGAAAGTGTCATGTGTGTCAACGAGCACGGAGGTCAATTTATTATTTCACCCAACAAGAATTTACTGAGTACCTACTACGTGAGATCTTGTTGGGGAGGGTCTTCTGCGCTTGACTTGGAAGCAGAGTACAGATTTGACCCAAAAGTTGCCTCTTAAGGGGTGCCAATCCAGAGCTTGTTTGGGCATCCACAGGCAGGTGTCACTGTCCGTGGTCCTGAACTACCAACGCCATTCCCCAGGACACGACTGTTCCTTTTTTTTTTTTTTTTAAAGATTTATTTTATTGATTTGAAAGGCAGAGTTACAGAGAGAGGTATAGACAGAGAGAGAAGTTTTCCATCCGCTGGTTCACTCCCCAACTGGCTGCAACGGCCGGAGCTGTTCTGATCCAAAGCCAGGAGCCAGAAGCTTCTTCTGAGTCTCCCTTGTGGGTGCAGGGGCCCAAGGACTTGGGCCATCTTCTACTGTTTTCCCAGGCCATAGCAGAGAGCTGGATAAGAAGGGGAGCAGCCAGGACTAGAACCAGCGCCCATATGGGATGCCGGTGCTTCAGGCCAGGGCTTTAACCCGCTGCACCACAGCGCCGGGCCCCAATGACTGTTCCTTTTAACCCAGGGACATTGGTGACTCATGTCCAGTGTTTTCCAGAGATCCTGAAACAGGTAAGGAAGAAGGCACAGGAAATTAGAAGGAGCAAGGGATGGAGAGAAGGGAGAGGTGGGAAGGAGGAAGAACACCTAGAAGCTGTTAGAAGGTACATTCCCAAGACAGTGCCCACCGATTTTAAATGTTCATGTCTACCATAAAAGAAACCACTGTAGACCTAGACCATGGCAAAAATACTGAAAAGCTGAAAAATATGAAAAAATTTGTGTACCAAGTTAACCAAATGTGGATTGGTATCAATGGTTCTAGTGAAATCATTTGTTTTACTAAAAAGCCCATAATACATTAACTCATTTAGAAAAGTTTACACAATCATTATATGTCTATGTATAGTATATATTTTATATGTCATATATTATACAACTATAATAGAAGATTAAATATACACAATATTCCTTATAACATATTAATTATAGAATTAAACCATGTCCAAACATTTAAGGAATAAAGCAACAAACTATCGAGTTTTACTTTATCTTTCAGAAATACCACATTTCGTTAGCACCGAGTTCCATTGTAAGTTGACTTTCCTGGTTACCGTGGTGCAGGGAGCCGTGAGCAGCAAAGTCTGCACAAGGCGTGCGGGAAGTCCGGCACGGGAACCAGCGCAAGCGCCGGGAGCTGCTGGAGACGGTGGAGCTGCAGACCAGCTTGAAGAGTTATGACCCCCAGAAAGACAGACGCTTCTCGCGCACTGTCAGGCTGAAGCCCACTCCCTGCCCCAAGTTCTCCGTGTGTGTCCTGGGCGGCTGCCGCTCCCCCTCTTCATGGAGGAACGACACAGGACCCTGCGCTGTTCTTTCGTCTGCTTGGCCCTCCCCGGGTTTGCTGCTGGTTCTTCCCGGGTTGGCTACCATCCCTTCCACCTCCGTGGAAGGGTGGCTCCCCCTGCCACTTTCCCCACTTCCGTGGGGGAGCGGCACACTGCTGGCCGGCTCTCGGGGGCTGCACAGGTGTTCCTTCAGATAGATGTTCCCCTTAGATGTTCCTGGTGCATGCCGTCTCTCTCCTCCTTTATAGTCCTCTTCCACCAATCCCAACTCTGCTACCCACACGCCGAGTATGCTGCTCTCCTCCAATCAGGAGCAGGATCAGCTCCTGCAGGTCATCACTCAAGTTGGCGAGAGGCAGCTGCGTAGAAGCTGTTACTCCCTTCTCAGCGCCATATTGTGGGACAGCAGATGCATAGAATAAGTCTTAATTCCAGTAACAGTCTAGTTCGAGTTGCTCCCCACAGCGGCCAGCAGCACTGCCACAAGGCCAAGGCTGCGGACATCCCCCACGTGGACACCGAGGTGCTGAAGAAGCTCACCAGGAACAAGAAGCTGGCCGAGACGTATGGTGCCTTTTTGGCCTCAGAGTCTCTGATTAAGCAGACCCCACGAATCCTGGGCCCAGCCGGCAAGTTCCGCTTCCTGCTGACACACAAGGAGGACATGGTGGCCAAAGTCGATGAGGCGAAGTCCACAATTCAGTTCCAGATGAGGAAGACACTGTGTCTGGCCATGGCAGTCGGCCACGTGAAGATGACAGACAATGAGCTTGTGTACAACATCCACCTGGCTGTCAACTTCCTGGTGTCACTGCTCAAGAAGAATCGGCAGGGGCTGGCACCGTGACGCACCAGGTTAACCCTCCACCTGCAGCGCCGGCATCCCAAATAGGCACTGGTTCAAGTCCCGGCTGTTCTACTTATGATCCAGCTCTCTGCTACAGCCTGGGAAAGCAGTGGAAGATGACCCAAGTCCTTGGCTCCTGCACTCGCATAGGAGACCAGAAAGAAGCTCCTGGCTCCTGGCTTTGGATCAGCTCAGCTCCAGTTGTTTCAGCCATCTGGGGACTGAACCAGCAGAAGACCTCTCTCTCTCTCTCTCTCTCTGTCTCTCTCTGTCTCTCTCTGCCTCTGCCTCTCTGTAACTCTGCCTTTCAAATAAATCTTTTAAAAGATTTTTGAACATTTAGAGTTCAACACTTCTGATTCACTGTTTGACTTACTCATTTTGTGTGTGTGAATAAAATATCCTTTACACATCAAAAGCATTGATGCTGCTGATCTTCTTGAAGCAGAGTTCAGTTATTGTCTCTGGACAGTTCTCCCAAGGTACTACGCCCTGCGTTTAGATGCTGGCACTTTCTTTATCTTACCGGAAGGTGTCAGCAGTGACAACTACTTCACAGTTGGCACCTGGCCAACAGCCACCCTGTGGTCTGCCACAAGATTTGAATCGCTCATCTGTGGGGGAAAAAGAAAAAAACATTTTAGAATGGATGAAAACAGGAAGTTGAGCAAACATTATTCCAAGTATCTCTCTCTGGTTATGTACAAAAAGTAATGGCTTGATTTTGTAAAAATTGATGCCTACTCTACATTCGCAGGCTTATCACCTTGATTACTTATCATTTCTTTGTGGTGAGAACATTTAACATCCTGGCCTACAGCTGTTTTGAAATATACGTTATTAACCTTTGTGGTCATGCTGTGCAGAACACCAGAACTCACTTCTGCTTAACTGTACCCACTGACCGCTGACGGCCCTTTCCCTACCCACCCTGGCTCCTCAACCCCCAAGCGCTTGGGAGTCCCAGTCTACTCTCTACTTCTGCCAGTTTTGCCAGACTCTTTAAGATTCCACATATCCATGAGGTCATATGGCATGTGTCTCTCCATGCCTGACTTGTTTCTCTTAACATAACTTCCCCTAGGTTCACCCATGTTGTCACAAATGACATAATCTCCTGTATTCTTTAAAGGGTGGATAGTACTCCATTGTGTTATGTGTATGTATGTATATGCATATATGTGTAAATATATACATATTATATATATATCTCACATTTAAGAAACCCATTCATTTGTTGGTTTCCTCCATATTGTGGCTTTGTGGATAATGCTGCAGTGAACACAGTAGTACAGACATCTCTTCAATGTACTGATTTCAGTTCCTTTGAATCCCAGTGGGATTGCTGAATCACAAAGTAATTCTAATTTTAGTTTCAAGGAAACTCCACATTGCTTTCCCAAAAAGGCTGCACTAATCTATAATACCACCAGTGGTCCCTAAGGGTTCCTCTTCTCCGTGTCCTCACCAACACTTGTTGTTGTCTTGTTCATAGTAGTCAATCTAGTAGGTGTGAGGTGATATCAACTTAACTAAGTTTAATCTTATTTATAATTTTATAATATGGAAACTATACTTTTTAACGTCCCATGGAAATTTTCCATGAAAAGCAAATACCTATCTTATTTATTTATTTATTTATTTATTTTTGGACAGGCAGAGTGGACAGTGAGAGAGAGAGAGAAAGGTCTTCCTTTGCCATTGGTTCACCCTCCAATGGCCGCCGCAGCCAGCGCGCTACGGCTGGCGCATCACGCTGATCCGAAGCCAGGAGCCAGGTGCTTCTCCTGGTCTCTCATGGGGTGCAGGGCCCAAGCACTTGGGCCATCCTCCACTGCACTCCCTGGCCATAGCAGAGAGCTGGCCTGGAAGAGGGGCAACCAGGACAGAATCCGGCACCCCGACCGGGACTAGAACCCGGTGTGCCGGCGCCGCTAGGCGGAGGATTAGCCTAGTGAGCCGCAGCGCCAGCATCAGATACCTATCTTAAATCAGACCATGAACCCGCTCAGATTCCTTCAATTTTCTTCTATTTTCAGGACCACTGGTAACATTACGCCGGTTCAGGGTGACTGGTCCCTTAGTCTTTGCCTCTTGGTAGAGGGTGGGTTTCCTGGAGGTCCTCAGTGTGTATGTTTATCCCTAGAAGATTTCAGACTGTGCCAAAATCATTGCAGTGTGTGTCGCCTGAGATCTGATATTCATACAGATACAGCCCATATCAGATTTTCCTTGAGTCAAAAATGCTAGGGGGTATTTCTTTTGCTTTTGCCAAGTCATTGTGCAAATATCTATCAAATGGGCCGGCGCCGTGGCTCACTAGGCTAATCTTCTACCTAGTGGCGCCGGCACACCGGGTTCTAGTTCCGGTTGGGGCGCTGGATTCTGTCCCGGTTGCCCTTCCTCCAGGCCAGCTCTCTGCTGTGGCCAGGGAGTGCAGTGGAGGATGGCCCAAGTCCTTGAGCCCTGCACCCCATGGGAGACCAGGAGAAGCACCTGGCTCCTGGCTTCAGATCAGTGCGGTGCACCGGCCGCAGCGCACCGGCCGCGGCAGCCATTGGAGGGTGAACCAACGGCAGAGGAAGACATTTCTCTCTGTCTCTCTCTCTCACTGTCCACTCTGCCTGTCCAAAAAAAAAAAAAAAAAATCTATCAAATGAAGAAAATGCTATTTCCTCTTCCCAGAGTTTTCTAAATAGTTTTAAAAATTATGTTCAAAAACACTTCATATTAAAATTTGTTGATCGGGGGTTGGCGCTGTGGCACAGCAGGTTAATGCCCTGGCCTGAAACGCCAGCATCCCATATAGGCTCCGGTTCTAGTCCCAGCTGCTCCACTTTCAATCCAGCATCTCTGCTATGGCCTGGGAAAGCAGTAGAAGATGGCCCAAGTCCTTGGGCCCCTGCACCTGCGTGGGAGACCTGGAGGAAGCTCCTGGCTCCTGGCTTCGGATTGGCGCAGCTCCAGCCATTTCGGCAACTGGGGAATGAACCACTGGATGGAAGACCTCTCTCTCTCTCTCTGTGTAGCTCTGACTTTCAAATAAATAAATAAATTTTTTTTGACAGGCAGATTGGACAGTGAGAGAGAGACAGAGAGAAAGGTCTTCCTTTTTCCGTTGGTTCACTCCCCCAATGGCCGCTGCGGCCAGCATGCTGTGGCCAGAGCACCACACTGATCCGAAGCCAGGAGCCAGGTGCTCCTCCTGGTCTCCCATGCAGGTACAGGACCCAAGGACTTGGGCCATCCTCCACTGCACTCCTGGGCCACAGCAGAGAGCTGGACTGGAAGAGGAGCAACCGGGACAGAATCCAGCGCCCCAACCGGGACTAGAACCCAGGGTGCCGGCACCGCAGGTGGAGGATTAGCCTATTGAGCCGCGGTGCCAGCCTCAAATAAATAAATAAATAAATCTTTAAAAAATACATTCATAGGTACTATCCCACACTCCATCACTTTGTTGGCAGATCCATTTTATTTCTGTTAAAACCTATACCTTCTGGCAAAGACTCTAAAGTCATTTTGAGAGAAGGAAATGGACAATTTTCAGAAACCTGAGCCTTGCACAGGGATGCACATCCGAAGACCTGCTCAAGAACCACCCTCTATTCAGCAGGCAAACCTAAGGGACTATTCTTCTCCTGGGGTGACGTTACCATTGATCCTGAACTCGGAAGGATATTGCAGGAATTTCCCTCTCCAAACACAGATTCTTTCTGATTTTTAGATTGTGGTGCAGTTATCTGAGGAAGCTTTAGTAACTACAGTTGGTCGAATGTTAATCCACTACTGGAATTTCAAGCAATTCAACAGGATCAGCATCAAATTTTTTTTTTCATAGTCAAGCAACAGCTGAGATCAAAATATACTGCAGGCACAAAGTCCTTAGAAAGGTGCATCTCAAATTCTGCGAAGCCTGCAATATGACGAGCAACGTGTCTTAAAGAAGCAATAGTATTTTTTTTTTTGACATAAAACAAGTTGGGCAGGGGCTGGCGCTTTGATGCAGTGAGTTAAAGCCCCAGTCTGAAGCACCAGCATCCCATATGGGCGCAGGTTTGAGTCCTGGCTACTCTACTTCCAATCCAGCTCTCTCCTATGGCCTGGGAAAGCAGTAGAAGATGGCCCAAGTCCTTGGGCCCCTGCACCGGCATGGGAGACCTGAAGAAGATCCTGGCTCCTGGCTTTGGATCAGAACAGCTCCAGCCATTACAGCCATCTGGGGAGCGAACCAGCAGATGGAAGACTTTCTCTCTCTTTCTCTGCCTTTCTGTAACTCTGCCTTTCAAATAAATAAATGAAGCTTAAAGAAAAAAAAAATTGGGTAGTTGCTGTAGAGTTCCCAGCACCTAGATGCCCAACATCCAATGGTAATCTTGGCTGCCAACACTTAGAAAGTGAAGATTTCCTGTCACAATTGCATCCTGATAATGGCTTAATAATTTTAAAGTCAGCTCTCACTTTGCCTATTGTTTTCCTGAAATTTCTGCTCATGATGGGATGAGAAAGGATTCTAGCACTTTCCCCACTCTTGGCAATCAATGGTGGATGGTGTGTATGGTGAGAGGCATGCTGTACCCAAATGCCCAGGAAGGGCATCACCCTGAACCACGTGTCCATTGAGGCCTTCTTCCACACACACGCAAAAAAATCAAGATTTCTTCCAGGTTTTCTGGTTCCATGGTCTGTATGCTGTACTCTAACCTCCTGGCTGTAAGCCATAGGCCGTGTTTTAGCTGTGAATGTCTGCACTTGAACTCCTTGGCACTTATTAAAAATATCTCCATGGGGCCAGCGCTGTGGTACAGTAGGTTAATCTTCCGCCTGAAGCACTGGCATCCCATATGGGCACCAGGTTCTAGTCCCAGCTGCTGCTCTTCCAATCCAGCTCTCTGCTGTGGCCTGGGAAAGCAGTAGAAGATGGCCCAAGTCCTTGGACCCCTGCACCTGCATGGGAGACTGGGAGGAAGCACCTGGCTCCTGGTTTCGGATAGGTGCAGCTCCAGCCATTGTGGCCACTTGGGGAGTGAACCAATGGAAGGAAGATCTTTCTCTCGGCCGGCGC